TGGGACTCTTGGGCGATCTTGGGACGGTCTTGGGGACTTCGTGGGCTGTCTTGGAGGGTCGGGACGACGAAAAAACAAGAAAGCAAAACACCTGCAACAAACCAACGGGATTCAATGATTTCGGCCTCTTGCAACCCTGTTGGGAATGCTCTTGGGGCTCTCTTGGGACGTCTTGGAGGCCTATTGGACCATCTGGGAGCCATCTTGGGCGTCTTGGAACGGTCTTAGGCGCATCGAGGCACGCTTGGACCGTCTTCGACGCCTCGTGGGCCGTGTTTGCAAGCTCTTGGGCGGTGTTCGGCGCCTGTTCGGTTGTTTTTAGGGCCTCGTGGGCCGTCTTGGGGCGCTCTTGGGGGCCTCTTGGGCGATCTTGGGACGGTCTTGGGGACTTCGTGGGCTGTCTTGGAAGGTCGGGACGACGAAAAAACAAGAAAGCAAACCACCTCCAGAAAACCAGCGGAATTCAATGATGTCGGCCTTTTGCAGCCCTCTTGGGAATGCTCTTGGAGCTCCCTTGGGACGTCTTGGAGGCCACGTGGGCTAGCTGGGGGTCATCTTGGGCGTCTTGGAGCGGTCTTAGGCGCGTCGTGGCACGCTTTGACTGTCTTCGACGTCTCTTGGGCCGTGTTTGCAAGCTCTTGGGCGGTCTTAGGCGCCTATTTCCCAACCATCCTGTGGTGTTGTGTCCTCGTTTTGAAGAAGCGGTCCCCGCGTTCTCCCCTCATCCTCTTCCCCCCCCCTCCTCCTTGCTGCAGCCCGCATGCGTCACGCACACACAATTCGGCACACCCCTCACACGTTTCGTGGCCCCATGTGGAGCTCCACCGAAGGCCCCAATGCTGCCGCCCGCATGCGTCACGCACACCCAATTCGGCACACCCCTCACACGCTTCGTGGCCTCATAGGGGGCTCCACCGAAGGCCCCAATGCTGCCGCCCGCATGCGTCACGCACACCCAATTCGGCACACTCCGCACACGCTTCGTGGCCCCATAGGAAGCTCCATCGAAGGCCCCAGTACTGCCGCCCGCATGCGTCACGCACACCAAATTCGGCACACCCCTCACACGTTTCGTGGCCCCATATGGGGTTCCACCGAAGGCCCCAATGCTGACGCCCGCATGCGTCACGCACGCCCAATTCGGCAAACATCTCACACGCTTCGTGTCCCCATAGGGAGCTCCGCCGAAGGCCCCAGCGCTGCCGCCCGCATGCGTCACGCACACCCAATTCGGCACACCCCTCACACGTTTCGTGGCCCCACAGGGAGCTCCACCGAAGGCCCCAATGCTGCCGCCCGCATGCGTCACGCACACCCAATTAGGCACACCCCTTACACGCTTCGTGGCCCCATAGGGAGCTCCACCGAAGGCCCCAGTGCTGCCGCCCGCATGCGTCACGCACACCCATTTCGGCACACCCCTCACACGTTTCGTGGCCCCATAGGGAGCTCCACCGAAGGTTCGCAGTTGCGGTACTGACAGCTGCATATGGTTGGGTTCTTCGCCAGGCTAATTTTTTCGTCGTCACGACCCTCCAAGACAGCCCACGGACTCACCAAGACCGTCCCAAGATCGCCCAATGAGGCCCCCAAGGGCGCCCCAAGACGGTCCAAGAGGGCTTAAACATAACAAATTCGCCTGGCGAAGAACCCAACCATATGCAGTTGTCAGTACCGCAGCTGCGGGTTTATCCTCAAAGGGACTCCCCATAGGACCACGGAGCGTGTGAGGGGTGTGCCGAGATGGGTGCCGCTGGGGCATTCGGTGAAGCTCCCTATGGGGACATGAAACACGCGCGGGGCGTGCCGACATGGGTGGCGGAAGCGCATGTGAGGGCTGCCACTGGGGCCTCCAGTGGGGTTCCCTATGGGTCCCCGAAACATGATGCTGCTGCGGGGGGGGGTGGCGGGATGGGTGGCGGAGACGCATGTAAGCGCCGCTACTGGGGCCTTCGATGGAGCTCCCTATGGAGCCACGAAGCGCGTGAGGGGTGTGCTGGGATGCGTGGCGGGGACGCATGTGAGCGCCGCCACTGGGGCCTTCGGTGCAGCTCCTTACGGGGCCACGAAACGTGTGAAGGGTGTGCCGGATTGGGTGCGGGTGGTGACGCATGCGGGCGGTGCCACTGGGGCCTTCGGTGGAGCTCCCTATGGGGCCACGAAACCTGTTGTTGTGAAGGGCGTGCCGGGATGGATGGCGGGGACGCATGTGAGCGCGGCCGCTGGGGCCTTCGGTGGAGCTCCCTATGGGGCCACGCAGCGTGTGAGGGGTGTGCCGAATTTGGTGTGCGTGACGCATGCGGGCGGCAGCACTGGGGCCTTCGGTGGGGCTCCCTGTGGGGCCACGAAACGTGTGAGGGGTGTGCCGAAGCGGACTGGGGCCACGAAATGAGGGGTGTGCCGAATTGGGTGTGCGTGACGCATGCGGGCGGCAGCACTGGGGCCTTGCTCCCTATGGGGCCACGAAACGTGTGAGGGGTGTGCCGAATTGGGTGTGCGTGACGCATGCGGGCGGCAGCGCTGGGGCCTTCGGTGGAGCTCCCTATGGGGCCACGAAGCGTGTGAAGGGTGTGCCGACTTGGGTGTGCGTGACGCATGCGGGCGGCAGCACTGGGGCCTTCAGCGGTGCTCCATATGGGGCCACGAAACGTGTAAGGGGTGTGCCGAAATGGGTGTGCGGGACGCATGCGGGCGGCAGCTCTGGGGCCTTCGGTGGAGCTCCCTATGGGGCCACGAAGCGTGTGAGGGGTGTGCCGAATTGGGTGTGCGTGACGCATGCGGGCGGCAGCGCTGGGGCCTTCGGTGGAGCTCCCTATGGGGCCACGAAGCATGTTAGGGGTTTGCCGGATTGGGTGTGCGTGAATCATGCGGGCGGCAGCACTGGGGCCTTCGGCGGAGCTCCCTATGGGGCCACGAAACGTGTGAGGGGTGTGCCGAATTGCGTGTGCGTGACGCATGCGGGCGGCAGCACTGGGGTTTTCGGCAACGCCCCCTGTGGGGCCACGAAACGTGTGAGGGGTGTGCCGGATTGGGTGTGCGTGACGCATGCGGGCGGCAGCACTGGTGCCTTCGGCGGGGCTCCCTATGGGGCCACGAAACGTGTGAGGGGTGTGCCGAATTGGGTGTGCGCGACGCATGCAGGCGGCAGCGCTGGGGCCTTCGGCGGAGTTCCCTGTGGGGCTACGAAACGTGTGAGGGGTGTGCCGAATTGGGTGTGCGTGACGCATGCGGGCGGCAGCACTGGGGCATTCGGTGGAGCTCCCTGTGGGGCCACGAAACGTGTGCGGGGTGTGCCGAATTGGGTGTGCGTGACGCATGCGGGCGGCATTACTGGGGCCTTCGGCGGAGCTTCCTATGGGGCCACAAAACGTGTGCGGGGTGTGCCGAAATGGGTGTGCGGGACGCATGCGGGCGGCAGCTCTGGGGCCTTCGGTGGAGCTCCCTATGGGGCCACGAAGCGTGTGAGGGGTGTGCCGAATTGGGTGTGCGTGGCGCATGCGGGCGGCAGCACTGGGGCCTTCGGCGGAGCTCCCTATGGGGCCACGAAGCATGTTAGGGGTTTGCCGGATTGGGTGTGCGTGAATCATCCGGGCGGCAGCACTGGGGCCTTCGGCGGAGCTCCCTATGGGGCCACGAAACGTGTGAGGGGTGTGCCGAATTGCGTGTGCGTGACGCATGCGGGCGGCAGCACTGGGGCTTTCGGCGACGCCCCCTGTGGGGCCACGAAACGTGTGCGGGGTGTGCCGAATTGGGTGTGCGTGACGCATGCGGGCGGCATTACTGGGGCCTTCGGCGGAGCTTCCTATGGGGCCACAAAACGTGTGCGGGGTGTGCCGAATTGGGTGTGCGTGACGCATGCGGGCGGCAGCACTGGGGCCTTCGGTGGAGCTCCCTATGGGGCCACGAAACGTGTGCGGGGTGTGCCGAATTGGGCGTGCGTGACGCATGCGGGCGGCATTACTGGGGCCTTCGGTGGAGCTCCCTATGGGGCCACGAAACGTGTGAGGGGTGTGCCGAATTGGGTGTGCGTGACGCATGCGGGCGGCAGCAAGGAGGAGGGGGAAGAGGAGGAGGGGAGAACGCGGGGACCGTTTCTTCAAAACGAGGACCCAACACCACAGGATGGTTGGGAACAAGAAAGCAAAACACCTGCAAAAAACCAACGGAATTCAATGATTTCGGCATCTTGCAGCCCTCTTGGGAATGCTCTTGGGGCTCTCTTGGGACATCTTGGAGGCCTCTTGGGCCGTCTGGGAGCCATCTTGGGCGTCTTGGATCGATCGCAAGCGTCTCGAGGCACGCTTGGACCGTCTTCGACGCCTCTTGGGCCAGACAAGAGCGCTCCCGGAGGCCCGATCCCGCCATGGGGGGTTGCGGTCCCGGCCAGGGAGCCCCCGGCCCTGTAGCCCTGTATATATATATATATATATGTACATACCTATATGTACATCTATATATATATATATATATATGTACATCCAAACATAAATACGCATTCACGTACACGTGCACGTACACGTAAACGTACACGTGCACGTACACGTACACATACACATGCACATGCACATGCACAAATACATATACATGTACATATACATGTACATGTATATGTACATGTAATATACATTTATACCGTTACAAGCATACAGACATTCATACTGACAGACACACGGGCAGACGGACGGACAGCCAGACAGACAGACAGACATATAGACATACAAAGATCCTTGGCACAGGATCGGACTAGCCAGGACAGGTGGAGGTTTACAGCTGGTGCCCTCCGATCGGCGCCGTGGTGCTAGAAGTCCCAAGCAGTGCCTCTCCTCGGATGCTGCCTCGAGCCGCTCCTGGGGCTCCTGAAAACTCTGGGGGCCCAGGGAGGATCTGCAGATTCCCCGCGCCTTCCGTCCAAGGGTGCGGCGGAGCCACGAAGCGTCCTACGCAAACATGGGTATCAGTATACGTGAGGCAAATCAAGCAGGTGGGGAAGGGCACGCAGCCTTTGGCCCTACGGAACAGCTGGCCCCAGCTCTTGAAGTCACCTGGCACGTGGGCGAGGCGGCAAGAGCTGGTGCGCGAATCCGCGAGGAAGGCGGGGCGACCCTCGCAGATCGATCGAATCGTTTGCACAATTCGCCGACCCCTCGGAGGTAACCGAGCGTGGGGGACTGCCTCACCCTGCCGTGAGGCCAGCTAAGTGGGGCCAACGAATGGGCTGCCGTAGTTCCCTAGGACGGTGTGGCCAAATCCCACAGGCCCTCTGAGCGCAGGTGGTCTAGAGCGGTTTCTCTTCCAACCCCTCCCTCTTCCCCTTCGGGGAGGGGTTTATCCCTCCCCCATACCCCCTCCCCTGGACCTGGAGGTGGGGGGGTTCGCGAGGCGATGGAGCGTCCAAGATGGCCCAAGATGGCTCTAGGAAAGCCTGAGAGAGCCCACGATGACCTCCAAGACGGCTCTAGATAGTCCAAGATGGCTCAATGCGGCTTCCAAGATGCTCCAAGAGAACACAAGACCGCTCCAAAACGGCTCCGAGTGGCCACGGAGCCTCCCCAGGAGGCCGCTGAGAGGCCCAAATCCTTCAGAAGCAATCGGGAAATCAATGATGTTTGCCTTCTCGCCTTTCGCTTCCGATGGCCTTTCCGAGGCCTCAAGGCAGCTCCAAGAGGACTCCTGATCAGGGTCTCAAGAGAGGCCCAAGAGAGCCCCAAGACGACCCCAAGAGCGACCAAGAGCCCCCCCAGAGCGCTCCAAGTGGGGTCCAAGAGACGATTCTAGACACTCTCGAGGGGAAAGGCTAATCAAAGCTCCTCCCTTCTTTACTCGATGTCCTTCAAGATGGCTCTAAGAGCGTCCCCAAGCCTCCCAAGAGCGCCCCAAGAGGGCCCCAAAAGGCGCCAAGGATGCCCCAAAGGGCCTCTAAGAGACTCCCCACGAATTCCCCCTCCTCTTCCCCCTCCTCCTCCTCTCTCTCATCCCCCTCGCCCTTCTTCCCCGCTTTCCTCATTTGGCAGGTCCGCGAAGGCGCATTCGATTCGCTCTTGGGTCTGAGAAGGCTGCATGACTCCGCTCTTGATCGACTGCATGCTCCTCCGCTTCCTTGATCAAGGCAACTCGCCTGGGCATCGTCTCTGGATGGTCGGTAAGGATACGCAAAGCATCAAGAATTAGGCCGATTAGGGGGGTCACACCCGCGAACTTTCAAGATCAATCAGCACCGGGTCGAGAAATCAGATCGAATCAGATTGTGCGTCGGATCGGGCTTGTCGACACGGAATCAAGATCGAATCAGATCGGTAACGCCAACATTCACAGTATCGCGAAGAGAAGAACACAAGAACGGTTCCGAAGAAGGGAGGAGGAGCAGAGCAGGAGAGGCAAGGACCGCACAACTCAGATGTGCGCGAGCGACTTGCGATGCACCGCGCACGTTCGACGGAGGCTGGTGGCATCGAAGCTGGCCAGATCTGCACTTCGCGCATGCTTCCAGACACCCTCATTTGCAGGACGGTCTTAAAGGCCATGATGCGAGTGGTTCTGGACACGCTGCAAGGCCACACACTACATGAATTCTGGACGATTTAGCGGACCTCGCCTCTGGAGCCCGCGCGGGATAATAAGACAATCCAGATATGCTGGAACGTAGCACTATTGTGACCTATTGTTGCTCTGAACTCGACGGGGAGATCCCAATTTCGGCTTAGACATCACCACGGCCCGCTCTCAAACAGGCCTCGGCGCTTAGGTGGCCGCGGCCGGCATGCCAGCCCAAGTCGATGCAGGAGCGGGCGAAAGAGGAAATGGAGACAGGCTCCGGACTCGACGGACGTCGTACTACCATAAGGAACGCAGCGAAAGGAATGACAGGATTATCTGGCCACGGCGAGACTCAGCCACGAACAGGTCCTCCGACAAAGTCATGGAACGGCCCGAAAAAACCAGAGCCCCTCCTCGGCCCTAATCGGACTTCAACTCAACGTCTCCCCTGCCCTGTACACCCTCGGAAATCCTTGCGCTTTTTGCTCCCACATCCCCTGCCCTGCGCTTGCTCTGTTCCACTTTCCGGGACCTCATCCCTCCTCCTCCACGGCCTGGGCCCCTCTGGCGCTCGACTGCAGAACTCGAGGCCGCGGCGAAGCGTCGCCAGATGGGGTGGTACTGGCATGCCAACGCCGTGGAGGGGCGGCCGCCTTCGTACTTCGTCCCCGTGGTGGGCGGCGGCGGGGTTTTTGAAGGCGGTCGTCTTGGCGTGGGCAAACAGGGCGACATGGGCCGTTCAAGCCCGCCCTTGCCCCTGCCCCTTGCCCCTGCCCCCTGGCGCCCTCCTGGTCCGGCCTGTAGGGCCGTTGGCCAGAAGGAAAAGCCAAGGCCCGCCTAGGCGGTTGTTCGGGAGGCGTGCTCATCAAAGGCCGTTCGGGGGGGGGGGGAGAAACATCCCAGGCACATCGCTTACGATTGGGACCGGGCGCCAGGCTCGGCGCGAGGCGCGCGAGGCGGCGGCACGCGCGTGGCAGATGACGGTGATGGGGCAAACGCTGGAAACACATGCGGCCACATCATGTGCGCCCAGTTTCTGGCAAAACTAACGAAGATGCAGCTGAGCAACAATGCAACCCATCCTCCGCCATCTCTCGTATCGTCCTCCGTATCCGCCTCCTCCGCTTGCGTCACCACCCCCTTTCATCCTCCCCATCCTCTTCTCAGCCATCCTTTGTCATGTAAAAGTAGGGTTATGTGGTCAAGCTATTTGCTCATGGCGCGCGTGACTGGCGGGGCTGCATTGCTTGTGGTCTTTACTTGGCGGCTGGAGAACTGTAGTTTAGGCGGATCTCCCATTGCCGATTGGTCTGTCTATTTGGGGAGCCGTCTGGACATCATTAGAGGATGGGGGGCAGGAATGCGAAGGCCGGATAACGGAAGGAGGGAGGGGGGCCCGAGGGAGGGAAGAGGCCAATGGTCGTCTCCTCGTCCGTCTCCTCATCTCCTCGTCCGTCGCGTCGTCTCTTCGACCGTCGTTTCCCCTCTCTGTGTCTCTCGATCTGCCCCTGGGCTCTTCCTGCGCTGGCACAGAAAACTGGACCACAGCATGGAGGGAGGAGTGAACAGAGGACGAGGAGGTGGCCAGAGTGATGAAACCTCTCCGCTGACGCTGCGAGCAGTGTCTTGACATCTGCACCCCAGGCCTTCGACAATTTCCCCAGGGCCTGAATGCAATCCCGAGCGATTTTCTGACGGCCTCGGGAGGCCGAACATGATCGACCCACGAATGAGGAAAGGAATATAGGCATGTAAGGCATGGCAACGTTTCAAAGACACCTGATTGGGCGACGGGCAAACGCAATGCTGAATGTATCGATATTGATGTACCGTGCTGAGGGCTGTGCTGTGCAGTGCCGTGCTGACTTGCGATGTGCCATGCCGCGATTGTGCTCTATAGCGTTGTGGATCGAGTCCTCCTTTGCATCCGAGTCCTGACAGACCTGGACCGAATCTGAAGATCGAGCTGCCTGAGCACATAGTAGCTGCCCCAGAGCTAATTGACAGGGGATCATGCCAGGAGGACGCGCCGCGGAACGTCCCAAGGGACGCGCCAGGCGACGTGCCAAGGAACGTGCCATGGGGACGCACCGCGGGACGTGCCAAGGGGACGCGCTACGGAACGTGCCAATGAACGTGCCACGGGACGTGCCAGGGGTCGCGCCGCGCGACGTGCCAGGGGGACTCGCCACGGGACGCGCCACGGAACGTGCCAAGTTGCAATGCTGAATGTATCGATATTGATGTACCGTTCCGAGGGCTGTGCTGTGCAGCGCCGTGCTGACTTGCGATGTGCCATGCTGCGATTGTGCTCTATAGCGTTGTGGATCGAGTCCTCCTTTGCATCCGAGTCCTGACCGAACTGAGCTGGATCTTAAGCTCGAGCTGTCTGAGCACATAGTAGCTGCCCCAGAGCTAATTGGCAAGGGAACATGCCAGGAGGACGCGCCGCGGAACGTCCCAAGGGACGCGCCAGGCGACTTGCCAAGGAACGTGCCATGGGAACGCACAGCGGGACGTGCCAAGGGGAGGCGCTTCGGAACGTGCCAATGGACGTGCCACGGGACGTGCCAGGGGACGCACCGCGCGACGTGCCAGGGGGACTCGCCACGGGACGCGCCACGGAACGTGCCAAGGAACGTGCCAAATGCAATGCGGAATGTATCGATATTGATGTACCGTGCTGAGGGCTGTGCTGTGCAGCGCCGAGCTGACTTGCGATGTGCCATGCTGCGATTGTGCTCATTAGCGTTGTGGATCGAGTCCTCCTTTGCATCCGAGTCCTGACCGAACTGATCTGTATCTTAAGCTCGAGCTGCCTGAGCACATAGTAGCTGCCCCAGAGCTAATTGACTAGAGATCATGCCAGGAGGACGCGCCGCGGAACGTCCCAAGGGACGCGCCAGGCGACGTGCCAAGGAACGTGCCATGGGAACGCACAGCGGGACGTGCCAAAGGGACGCGCTACGGAACGTGCCAATGAACGTGCCACGGGACGTGCCAGGGGACGCGCCGCGCGACGTGCCAGGGGGACTCGCCACGGGACGCGCCAAGGAACGTGCCAAGGAACGTGCTAAATTGCAATGCTGAATGTATCGATATTGATGTACCGTGCTGAGGGCTGTGCTGTGCAACGCCGTGTTGACGTGCGATGTGCCATGCCGCGATTGTGCTCTATAGCGTTATGGATCGAGTCCTCCTTTGCATCCGAGTCCTGACCGAACTGATCCGAAGCTTAAGCTCGAGCTGCCTGAACACATAGTAGCTGCCCCAGAGCTAATTGACAGGGGAACATGCCAGGAGGACGCGCCGCGGAACGTCCCAAGGGACGCGCCAGGCGACGTGCCAAGGAACGTGCCATGCGGGACGTGCCACGCGCTACGGAACGTGGACGTGCCACGGGACGTGCCAGGGGTCGCGCCGCGCGACGTGCCAGGGGGACTCGCCACGGGACGCGCCACGGAACGTGCCAAGTTGCAATGCTGAATGTATCGATATTGATGTACCGTTCCGAGGGCTGTGCTGTGCAGCGCCGTGCTGACTTGCGATGTGCCATGCTGCGATTGTGCTCTATAGCGTTGTGGACCGAGTCCTCCTTTGCATCCGAGTCCTGACCGAACTGATCTGGATCTTAAGCTCGAGCTGCCTGAGTACATAGTAGCTGCCCCAGAGCTAAGTGGCAAGGGAACATGCCAGGAGGACGCGCCGCGGAACGTCCCAATGAACGCGCCAAGCGACGTGCCAAGGAACGTGCCATGGAGACGCACCGCGGGACGTGCCGAGGGGAGGCGCTTCGGAACGTGCCAATGGACGTGCCACGGGACGTGCCAGAGGACGCGCCGCGCGACGTGCCAGGGGGACTCGCCACGGGACGCGCCACGGAACGTGCCAAGGAACGTGCCAGGTTGCAGTGCTGAGTGTATCGATATTGATGTACTGTGCCGAGGGCTGTGCTGTGCAGCGCCGTGCTGACGTGCGATGTGCCATGCAGCGATTGTGCTCTATAGAGCTGTGGATCGAGTCCTCCTTTGCATCCGAGTCCTGACCGAACTGATCCGAAGCTTAAGCTCGAGCTGCCTGAACACATAGTAGCTGCCCCAGAGCTAATTGACAGGGGAACATGCCAGGAGGACGCGCCGCGGAACGTCCCAAGGGACGCGCCAGGCGACGTGCCAAAAGACGTGCCATGAGGACGCATCGCGGGACGTGCCAAGGGGACGCGCTACGGAACGTGCCAATGGACGTGGACGTGCCACGGCGACGTGCCAGGGGACGCGCCGCGCGACGCCATGGGGACTCGCCACGGGACGCGCCACGGAACATGCCAAGGAACGTGCCATGTTGCAGTGCTGAGTGTATCGATATTGATGTACTGTGCCGAGGGCTGTACTGTGCAGCGCCGTGCTAACTTGCGATGCGCCATGCCGCGAGTGTGCTCTACAGCGTTGTGGATCGAGTCCTCCTTTGCATCCGAGTCCTGACCGAACTGAGCTGGATATTAAGCTCGAGCTGCCTGAGCACATAGTAGCTGCCCCAGAGCTAACCCCAACAATTCTTTAACACCCCCCCGGGCAATAATGGGAACATGCATAATTTGTCCGCCGGCTTATTGACGGATTTGGACCCCGACAATAGTTGGAAATTAATTATTCTCGTCGGCGGATGCATGAGAGGCCATGAGAAGTGCTCAAAAATCCCGTCGCTCAACGCCTGGCGGCCTCCTCCTCCTCCTCCTCCTCCTCCTCCTCTCCGACACACAACCGCCACCGCTGCTGCGCCGCCGTCGTAGGAAGAGGAGGACGGAGGGGAAGGAGGAGGGAGGGGAAGGAGGAGGAAGGACGAGTTTCTATTCCCCGCCGAGAGCTGAGGGGTGGGCATCATTCAAGACCCTCTGCGGTTTTTTGGCAGGGGAACATGCCCGGAGGACGCGCCGCGGAACGTCCCAAGGAACGCGCCAGGCGACTTGCCAAGGAACGTGCCATGGGAACGCACAGCGGGACGTGCCAAGGGGACGCGCTACGGAACGTGCCAATGGACGTGCCACGGGACGTGACAGGGGACGCGCCGCGCGACGTGCCAGGGGGACTCGCCACGGGACTCGCCACGGAACGTGCCAAAGAACGTGCCAAGTTGCAAAGCTGAATGTATCGATATTGATGTACCGTGCCGAGGGCTGTGCTGTGCAGCGCCGTGCTGACGTGCCGATGTGCCATGCAGCGATTGTGCTCTATAGCGTTGTGGATCGAGTCCTCCTTTGCATCCGAGTCCTGATCGAACTGATCTGGATCTTAAGCTCGAGCTGCCTGAGCACATAGTAGCTGCCCCAAAGCTAATTGATAAGGGAACATGCCAGGAGGAAGCGACGCGGAACATTCCAAGGGACGCGCCAGGCGACGTGCCAGGGGACGGTCCTCGGGAACACACCGCGGGACGTGCCGAGGGGACGCGCTACGGAACGTGCCACTGGACGTGCCAGGGGACGTGCCATGGGACGCGCCGCGCGACGTGCCAGTGGGACTCGCCACGGGACGCGCCAAGGAACGTGCCAGGTTGCAATGCTGAATGTATCGATATTGATGTACCGTTCCGAGGGCTGTGCTGTGCTGCACCGTGCTGAACTGCGATGTGCCATGCCGCTATTGTGCTCTACAGCGTTGTGGATCGAGTCCTCCTTTGCATCCGAGTCCTGACCGAACTGATCTGTATCTTAAACTCGAGCTGCCTGAGCACATAGTAGCTGCCCCAGAGCTAATTGACAAGGGACCATGCCAGGAGGACGCGCCGCGGAACGTCCCAAGGGACGCGCCAGACGACGTGTCAAAGGACGTGCCACGGGGACGCACCGCGGAGCGTGCCGAGGGGACGCGCTACGGAACGTTAAAATCAGTGGTCCTTGCTCGGGACAACCATGTTAGATATCCCCTTGGATGGCCTGGACACTTGAAAACACATGGTGCAAGCTCGGGAAACCATGTTAGATACACCCCTGAATAGCCTGGGCACGTTAAAACACGTGGTCCTTGCTCAGAGCAATCATGTCAAATATTCCCCATGCGTGGCCCGGATACGTAAATTCACGTGGGTGAAGCTCGGGGCAACCATGTTAGATATCCCCAAGGGTGGCCTGGACATGTAAAAACATATGGTTCCAGCTGGGGACCACCATGTTAGATACCCCCCTGGGTGGCCTGCACACGTAAAAACACGTGGTCCAGCCCACCCAGGGGGGATATCTAACCTGCGGTTGTCTGGAGCGCAGGAGGGCCCAGGAACGCCCAGAGGCGCCTGGAGGCAAAAAAGTCAACGAATCGATACCAAATACAAATAACCTCTCGACGTTCCGTTCCGAGTCCCAGGAAGGATCCAGGAGGCCCATGTTAGATACCCCCTGAGTGACCTGGACACGTGAAAACACATGGTTCCAGCTCGGGACCACCATGTTAGATACCCCCCTGGGTGGCTAGGACACGTAAAAACACGTGGCTCCAGCGCAAGACCACGATGCTAGATACCCCCTTGGGTGGCGTGGACACTTAAAAACACGTGGTTCCAGCACGGGAACACCGTCTTAAACATCCCCATGGGTGACCTCGACAGGTGAAACACGTGGTTCCAGCTCGGGACCAACATGTTAGATACCCACCTTGGTGGCCTGTACACGTGAAAACACGTGGCTCCAGCGCGGGACCACAATGTTAGATACCCACGTGGGTTCCCTGGACACGTGAAGCGACGTGATTCCAGCTCGGGCAGATTAACTTAGATAATGATTGTTTTGTGTGGTTAAGGGAATCTTGGAAAAACAAGCGAATTAGTCGAGACATCCTCGAAATTCCTGCACGCGGGACGCGGCACGCGCGAGACATCCTCGGAATTCCTGCGCGCGGGAGGCTTTTTCCCCGTCGCGGTCGGAGCTCCAGACTAAATTTTTTAGGGATTCCGCTAAAAATGTCCCGCATTTTTTGTTACGACGGAAAACGGTGGTCTGCGGACCCCGTTATTTATCAAGGATCCGAGATGGGGGGCAAACTGTCCTCGAGCTTGCACGCGAAAAACGCACTTGTTCAACTGACAATTCACACTTTACCTTGTATCTTATCGCAAAATACTTCCGATGGCCCTACAACTGTCGGGGCCGGGGGGTAAACCAACTAAAAGAGAACGCTGGGCCGGAACCCTTTCTGGGAAAAAACACACCCGTTGCGATTGTTGTTTTTTCCGTCGCCCAAATGAGAAGGAGGGGACGGACGATGAACACTTGTAGAAACATCAACTTTCGGACATGCGTGCGGATTTCTTGGATCGGCACTGGCCTCCCTCCCTGGCGCGCGGAGCTCGCCAGGGGCGGCGCCGGAGGCGCCGCCAGGGTGATCCGACGCCGATCCAGGAGACACGCGCGGACCTCCGAAAACTAATGTATTTGCAGATGCCTCTCCTGGAACGGCAGCGGCCGCGCCGCGGCCGGAGCTGGCCGAGCCCCGCCTGGCCTCCCATCCACTCGGAGGCCGGCCTGCAGCGGATCGCGCGCCAGGGGCGCGCGGTGTGCCACGGAGTCTCCACGACGGAACCGGGGCTGCTGCTACCCCTCCTGCTCCTTCTGTGCCTGCTCCTCCTCCTCTCCTCCCAGCACCGCCCCCCGCTTATCCTCCTCCTCCCCTCCTCCTCGTCTATCGTCCTCGTCCTCGTCGTCGTCCTTGACTTTCTCGTCGTCTCTGTCCTCGAAGTCGTCCTCGTCCTCGTCCTCGTCCTCGTCCTCGTCCTCGTCCTCCTCCACCTCCACCGCATCCTCCTCCTCCTCCTCCTCCTCCTCCTCCTCCTCCTCCTCCTCCTCCTCCTCCTCCTCCTCCCCCATCGTCCCTCCTCAGACAAAGAACGTGTCATGTTTCTCCCGCCTCCTCCATCCTTGTTATTCTCAATAACTCCACCTGTCGCATCGCCAAACGTGTGCAAAGGCCGGGCGGGGCGTTCCGCTTCAGACTCCCTTGCAAATGCCCATCCTGAAACTGACAATCTGGCCACAATTATAAAGTTCGGAAGGCCCGCTGCTCTCACACATCAGTTCTCGCGTGAGTGGTGAGCGCCGCAGACAATGCCCCCCCCCCACACGAAACATGTATCAGGATAGATGGCCGTTCGTTTCCAGAGAGTGGCTCTCGCATCAACGCAGCGTGCATTGGTCTGAGAGGGCCGTGCGCTTCCAAAGAGTGGCTCTCGCATCAGCGCAGCATGCATTCGCCTTACAAGCTTGCAACAACTGCCACGCTGGGGAACCAGTCGCGTTGAACATGCGGCTCTCGCCTTTACGCCACGCTGAGGCGTCTTTAAAAGCCAGCAACACAAACAAGGATGAGGCTAGCACGTCTTCGAAATGGGGCTCTCGCCATAGTGCCGCACATGGTCGTCTTAAAATCTTACAGCAGGCAAAAAGACTGAGGTCGGCGCCTCTTTCAAATGAGGCTCTCCCTGGCACCAGCAAAAGTTCGATACCCGACTTGTGAGAACAGTTTGACGGCTGCATGGGCGGAGGGCGGCTCTTCTCCCAGATTAGGCTATCGCTGGACATTTCGCTGAACTTGATGCCCCAACCGTTTTCGCAGTGCCTTTTGCTCGCTGGACAGACGCAAGTCAGCTCCTTTCCAAAGTGGGGGCTCTCGCCTCAATGGTAGACCGATAGGGTGCTCGCCTTTCATGCGGGGCGCTTCTTGCGGTGACCGGGAAAGCTTCTGGGGACTCTTGAGTGGATCTAGGGCGGGATGGTGCAGTGCAGCATCGTTAGTACATCCTGTCTGGGTTTACTCTGGTCCTCCTCCTTCTCCTTTTCCTCCTTCTTCCCACCCCCGAACGAACGCGGCCAACACGCACGTTAGACGGGCGAGGGCGCGTCCCCACAACGCTCCGCGCCAGCCTCCTCCTCCTCCTCACCCCCCATGCTCCTTCCGAGTACCTCCCCCGCCCAGAACCTGCCGCACCTCGAGAGATCTCACAACGGGGGTATCGCCGGAAACCTCATTTCCATTTTATCGTCCGACCCCCTCTGCGATTCTTCTGTGCAACACGGGGCGTTCGTTCGTGCATTCAAAGGGGGCGCTCCCCGTAGTGAAATGGAGTATGTGTTACAACTTGCGAGGAGGGGCCTTAGGACTTAGGACGGAGGGACTTTGCAGCCTCATGGATGCATCCTGGATCTACTCTGGTCCTCGTGCTCAACCTCCTCCTCCGCCTGCTTCGCCTCCTCCTCCGCCTCCTCATCCGCCTCCGCCTCCGCCTCCTCCTCCTCCTGCTCCCCCTTCTCCTCCGCCTCCTCCTCCTCCGTCTTCTCCTCCTCCTCCTCCTCTTCTACCTCCTCCGCCTCCGCCTCCGCCTCCTTCACTTCGTCCTCCTCCTTCTCCTTCTCCTTCTCCTTCTCCTTCTCCTTCTCCTCCTGCTCATCCTGCTCATCCCCAACACCCTCCTCCTTCGAGTTTGGAACGGCGGGCAATGTTCTCACGCATAAACTGGTGGTGTCGCGCCCCTCCACTCTGTCCCAGCGCCGGAGCCTCATCATCCTCCTCCTCATCTTCTTCCTCCTCCTCCTCCTGTCATCCTCTACGTTGTTCCAGTCAAGGGTTGCCCTGGCGCACGATATCCCCATAATCTCCGGAGATGTCTGGGTGAGTTCGAGAGCACCCGATCACGAGATCAAGAAGGGTCCCATCACGCTGTTATTTGCGCGCTGAATCGGCTATTCCCTGACCCTCCCGCCTCTTCTGCTCCAGCCCTTGCCCCATGTACGCAGCTAGGCCAGGCTGTGACCAGCTCTGGTGATGGCATCTGTGCTGGCGCATGCGTTCCCATGGGTGCACACCAGTGTTGCCCTTCCCCTACTACCTGCCTCTGACGAGGGAGAACGAGGGAGCAAGTGGTGAGGCAAACCGGGCGAGGGCAATATAGATGAAGAAAAACTATGGAATGCCGGCGGCCTTGCTCTCTGTCTTACGCCGGACTGCAACCGGCGGTGCTGGACTTTTTCCTCCGAAATGCGAGCTAGCACGAGACACGAACACAAAAATACTCGTGCGTGGGACTGTGAAGCCTCCGGCAGCAATCCACGATCGTACAAAGAAGTAATGCGTGATCGGTGAGATATTCAATTGAACACTAACTGTGGCAACATCGGTGGAAGTTCACGCCATGGCGAATCGCAACAACATATATTGACCAATTAGTCGCAAATGCACTTTGCCAACAAGCACGACGACGCCCATGATTGCAAAAAGCGACGCCAACGATATCGGCGACAATGACCATCCACATCGCGGCGCCCGCTCCAGCCACTCACATGGACACGCCCTGACCCAGGCACAAATAAATGCAATCACAAATGAACGCAGGCGGCAGAACACGTGATAGCAAATGAACACTGCCGAGCGCAAGGGACATGCGACCAGGTGGCCACCCTAGTGGGGGGCGCCTTAGGAAAGGCGGGACCGAGTCTGGAACCTAGGGCCTAGAGCGAGCTCCCGCGAACGCCAGGACCGCCAAAAAACGGCGGCAAACCAGAGTTCCCGCAAACTCGAGTCTTACGCTTCCCCGAGTCAGGGGCCTCCCGAGCTGAAGCCTTACCAGTGCGACAAAAACAGTGACCTTCATATGAATCGCACTTTCCTGCTGGTATGAGCTTCGCGAGAGCAGCAGAAGCAGACAGCAGTCAGTGGCGGTCCAGCTCGCTGTCCGCCGCAGATCCCCCCGGGGCGTCCACCTTGTACACAAGGACCTGGCCGCCGCAAATTAAGTACCGGATGTAGTCAAGGTTTCGCTGGCATTCAGCCTGGACTCGTCCGATCTTGCTGGCGTGTCGAACCTCTCCTAAATCGCAGTCGAGATCCCCATGAGGTGCAATCCGAAGGAATCCAGATGTTCCAAACCATTGATCTGGGCGGCCTTGTTCATGGGGTATCGTCGGTTGGTGACGGCATGCGAATCCACATACAACAAAAGCAGGGTGGTACAAGGCCAGCGGTCTTGTTTGCACGGCCTGCGTCGATGACGGGGGACTGCAGAAGGGTGAAAAGGGCATGGCGAAACATAGGGGCAAACGTACGGGTTCGCACTGGCTGCTTGTGCACGCATCCTAGACTGTTTGTTGCCAGTCCTTCGTTTCTGAAAGACTCGCCCCATACAAACACCACGGCGCCTCCTGTCTCTTGACGTTCCAGAAATGGATACAACAAAATGAGTGCGATGCGCAACGACGACAGCGACCGCTGCTTGTCTCCAGTAAGAACCGCCCCCAGCGAGACCGACAGCGAGTCCGATTCAACAAAATCGGGAATGGCTGTTGGTTGTTGGCCTCGTTCTTTACATACCCGTTTCGATCGCACCGAACGCACGCACCGGACAGGTGGCCCGGAGCGTCCCCCACCCCCTGGCACCGCTGTGCTTGTGACTGGAGCTCCGTGTCCCCACCTGCAATACTTTCGTGCCGTAATCAACTCTTTTGGCAAACGGGTCTTGAGGGAAACGGGTCCTGCACATGGTGGCGTTCCCCAACTGACGAACTCATCCTGAACTGTTGCGTGATGGCCCCAGGGCACAAGGAGGGCCTTGGGGAACACGAAATCGGAGAACGACTCTAGGATCCGTGTCCATGAGGACACATTTTCGTCATGGCAGGAAGGGTCTTGCTTTCGGGTCATTCGTCGGCCGTTCGGGACGAGTCGGGCATCCCCAGAACGTTCTCGGCGAGGCGCAGCTGCTGGAATGCATCCCGGGGATGAGCGAGCAATTGGGAACCTACGAAGGCAAAAAAAAAAAAACAAAACACATCGATCGGAATTGTTCAAACACTGTTTCAGCTGAAGCTGAAAAGTGTCTGGCTTGTATGCTCGGCAGGCAACAGTGTGGTTTGCGGCCCAGAAAGTTTCCGAAGTGCGCAGCGAGGACATAACGGGAACAGCTTGAAATACAGCAACGCATTTCGGGGTGGAAAACAACGGGAACATTTTGTCTGAAACCAATTGCTCGTCTCAGTCGCGCACCGTGCGTCTGCGAGTGTAGCGACAGGCTGAAGCAACGTCGAAACATTAGGGCACTCATGCCGTGTATCCCCACGCAGCCCTTCCAGGCCGCCGCTCCTCAAACGCCTACGTGGGTTTCTCCCCCGCCAATCATCCTCCGTGCTCTCGCCGTTAGAATCCGCCGACCCTGTCGATGTGTGTGAGGGGCTTTTCCGTTCGAGCCGTCATCTCCGTCATTCTTTGTAATCGTCGTCTCTGTCGTTCCCTTTCCCTGGTACCCCTCTTCCCCTGGGTTCCTCCCCGCTCCCCTCGCCCTTTCCCAGGGCCTCCTCCTCAAGCGCGCTAGCCTTTCCCTGGTACCCCTCTTCCCCTGGGCTCCTCCCCGCCCCCCTCGCCCTTTCCCAGGGCCTCCTCCTCAAGCGCGCTAGCCAAACCGACCTTCAGCAACGTCGTAATTGATTCGAAGGGAAGCCCCTTCCCTTTCCCTTCCCCGACGGGGGGGGGAGGGGGGGTCCCGGGGGGGGTCCCGGGGGAGTCCCGGGTCAGATACGACGGCCCCCCCGTACCGACCTTGAGCAACGTCGTAATTGAGTCGAAGGGAAGCCCCTTCCCTTTCCCTTCCCCGACGGGGGGGGGAGGGGGGGTCCCGGGGGGGGTCCCGGGGGAGTCCCGGGTCAGATACGACGGCCCCCCCGTACCGACCTTGAGCAACGTCGTAATTGAGTCGAAGGGAAGCCCCTTCCCTTTCCCTTCCCCGACGGGGGGGGGAGGGGGGGTCCCGGGGGGGGTCCCGGGGGGGAGTCCCGGGGGGTCCCGGAGTCAGGTCCCCGACGGGGGGGGGAGTCCCCCGGGTCAGATACGACGGCCCCCCCGTACCGACCTTGAGCAACGTCGTAATTGAGTCGAAGGGAAGCCCCTTCCCTTTCCCTTCCCCGACGGGGGGGGGAGGGGGGGTCCCGGGGGGGGTCCCGGGGGAGTCCCGGGGAAGTCCCGGGTCAGATGCGACACCTCCCTCCCCCACCTTCTCGTCCTTCTCCCCGTTCCCCAAAACCATCCCACAGCCCGTGCCTCTTGTTGCGCATTGCGAACAGGGTCGGCGGCACCGGCCGTAAGGCCTTCGCAATAGAACCGCCGCCAGTTGGAAGCTGCGGGGAGGGGGCGAAGAGAAAGTGGGGGAGTGGCGCATCGGAGAGGATATGGGGTGGGTACAAACGCGTCAGGTGGGAGAAGGAGGGAGGACGGAGGGGAGTGGAGTCGGGACGGCGTTGAGGGGAGGAGGAGAAGAGGGAAGGGAGGGTAGGAAGAAATGATGACGAGGAGGCAAAGGGCGATGAAAGCGGCGGAAAAAGGCGGGCGACGATGACGACGACCGCCGCCGCTGCGACGACAACGACGACGACGACGACGACGACGACGACGACGACGACGACGACGACGCCGCCGCGCGCGTTGCTTCTCCTCCCACCTGCTCCCCCGCCTCTGCCTCCCGAAGGGCGGCGTCAGAGTCAAGCATCGTTGGATGGAGTCGTTCGACGTGCGATTTAATCGGGCTGTCCACGCGACTTTCGAATCGTCGATGAAGCTCCCAGCTGGTACCAGGGCCCACGATGCGGCGTTCTTGAGAAGCGTTCTTGAAGATATGCCCGAAGAGGCCGCCTGTGCTGTGCAGTCGGCGGCCGCTGCAATGGCGCAGTGGGTTCCCCCGCTGCCCTTTCGATTTTCTGCGCAGGGGCCTGCTCGCCACCCGCGCCCGCGCGCCGTACAGGCGCCCCCGGGTTGCTCTACGGGGGCCGCATAGAGCAACTAATTGTCCCACAGGTGTTCTACAAGTTTCGGAATTGAGGGATTTCCTGGAACATTCCCCAACATACGCGAACACCCTAACTGCCCCACAGATGTTGCACAAGGCGTTCCCCTTCGGCGGGAGCTGTTGCACGACAGTGCCGCCCCACTGCCCGCCCCCCTGTCTCGATGTCAGCGTCCGCGCCCTCCTCAACGCGCCGCGGGCATGTGGGGCGAGCAGCGGCGGCCCTAAGGTTGTGGTCGCGACAGGCACTGCGAGGGAATGAGGGGCTGCGGAGGGCGGTCGCATGGCAAGGGAATGCGGGGATAAGGGGGGGGAGGGCGAGAACGCTGTGGGCAGGAATGGGGGGTGCCATGCCAGCAGACATCGAAAGGCGCCTCTCGGGGCTTTGAAGGGAGGCCCAGCGAGCGCTCAGGAGAGCCTTAGAAGACAGCAATGGAGGGCCCAAGTGGAGCACAAGACACAGTTTAAGAGTTCAGATGGGGCGTCAGGCGTGCCCAGAGATGGGCCTCAATATTTCAAAAACAGCATCGGTTTTCTTTCAGTTGTTGAAGGCGGAACGATTTGTCCGCAGAGACCTCGCGCGGACAGACCGTCTGAGAGCCATGTCCAATGCAGCGCGTTAAAAGCAGGGTCATGCACTGGACCAGACCGCATCGGTATTTCCCCTGCCCCTTCCCGCCCGCCCTCTGTCCTCCCGCAATCATCTCCCCTTTCCTTCCGCCACCGCCCTCCTTCTTACAGTATCCTGCCCCCGCTTTTCTTGCTGCGAGCATGCAGGTGCGGACTCCGAATCGCCGAGTTATGACAGAGTGCATCCAGGGACACGTCGGCGTCGTTTGAAGCCCCGCTCAATGTCTATCCGAGCCCCGCGCAAAGCCCAACGTCAAGCCCAGTGTAAGAGGCATCGCGCAGCGTCGAGGGTTCAAACCACGCGGCAGAGGGCTTGCCAACGAGTTGATTCATGTGCGTTTTGACACATTATTGGCTCGCGCTTTGGGAAAGGACAACAAAGAGCAAACGGTTGGGCAAGCGTTTGGGCACTGGCCTAACCCCTCTCTTCACCAAAACAAGCTAATTGCATTGTAGCGCGCTAAGGATACAATGTCTTGCTGCCGCCCGTGTCAAGCTAGACCTCGTCATGCAGCGGCGGGCCCACATTGAGCTTTTAGACCGGCCTCCTGATCGTCGATCACAAGGCTACAGGTCAAGTCGTTTTCGTGTCGTGCCAACCAATGCGCCAAGAGCATGGGGGGAGCGGCGGCTGGGGGCACAACCCTTCACAGAACATGCGAGGTGGCGTCTGATCTGCACCCTTCGAACCTCCACCGCTCTGGAACTGCCAACCCTCCCTGGAAATCTCCCCACCCCTCTTCAGAACCCGCATCCCTCCCTGGCGAGAACCCCCCCCTCCCAGCCCCCTCTCCCACCAATCCAACTTTCGGAAGGTGGGGGTGGGTTCGGACCACCCCCTCTTCGACGACGACGACGCCGTTATCAGCATCGTCGTCGTCGCCGCAGTTCGTCGCGAATGGTCGCCGACAACGCCGTCGGCGTCGCTTGCTGGCGAGTCGGGCGGACGGGCGGGCGGGACACGTCGTCGTCGTGGGCGAGTCTGTCGTGTGGGCGGGCGGGACACATGTCGTCGTCCTCCTCCTCCTCCTCCTCCTCATCCTCCTCCTCCTCGTTGTCATATCGTCGTCGTCCTCGTCATCCTCGTCATCCTCGTCATCGTCGTCGTTTGGCGGCAGCAGGCGTCGTCGCCGTCGCGGTCGCCATCGCCGTCGTCGCCGTTCTCGTCGTCGTCGTCGCCGCCGTTGTCGTTTGCCGGCGAGTCCGTCGGTCGGGCGGGACGTCATCGTGGACGAGTCTGTCAGCTGGGCGAGCGGGACACATCTTCATCATCGTTTGCCAGCGCCAGCCGTCATCGCCGTCGCCATCGCCGGCGCAGGAGGGGGTCGCCCCTCCCCGACTTTCACTCTAGACAAGGGGCGGCGGTTGGAACCTGCCTGCCTCCACGCGACTTCCGAGGGCGGGGGGGAGCCGGTTCGGACCCTCCCTCCTGACTCCCTCCCAGCGCACTCCGAAGGCGCTCGTTCGAACATGCGCTGCGTTTATTTAACGCATGACCGTGCGATCAATCTACACAGCAAAGGCAACCATGCATAGCAGGTTTGTGCCGTGACAACTTGTGCGTTGGTTGACAATGTGTGGATCATTCAATCTTGAACGATCCTGGCTGTTCGATGGCGCAGATCGTCCGATGTCGGCCGAGTCTGGGTCACAGGCGGCTTTCAACCATGAAGCGCAGCGTTTGCACGACCCGAACCTGCCTTATGATGCATCTTCGGGGGACCTCTATCCTGTGGCGCCGCTATCCGCGGCGAATACGCGTCGGATCCATTTCGAACGCGTCGAATTTGTCGAACCCACGTCGAATTTACGACGATTCCACATCAAATCCAAGTCGGATGCAGGACAAGACTGTCATTTACAGGACAAGCATGGCCCCACGAAGATGCATCGCACCTTACTCCCGGACGCCAGAAGCATCACGCATCACTGAATCCAGACAGTCGAGGATGACAACAGTACACCCGGGAGGGTCGCCGTGCGGGCAGGGGGGGCAGGGAGGCTTGCTGAAGGGGCGGCGGCCGGGGGGAGGGGGAAGAAAAGCGCGAATGACGCGGGCAGGGATGACAGGGGAAGGGTATTTAGCGACCGAAAAACGGTCTAACAGATTCGTTATGTTCTCGGAGGTCGTCTGTCGCAGGGCGGCTAGACAATTTATACCCTGACGTGCTGCCGTAGGGGTATACACTTTCCTGCCACCCTGGGGCAGGTGTCCTCGGTGGCGGAAGGGCTTATGGCATGCAATTATTCGCCCGCTGGCAGAAGATGGTAACTGGCAGCTGGCAGCTCTGGCTGCTCCTGCAACACTCGCGTCCACTTCCAAGGCAAGACCAATCGTCATCCTATCGGGGATTCGGATCGAATCGGAATGGACGTCGGATCGGGCTGCATCGGCACGGAATCGAAATCGAATCGGATCGGCTGCACCAAACCGTACGACAACACGATGCGAGTATCGGACCGCATGGGATCGCCCGCCAACACATCGAAATCGGATTGGACCGAAACGGCCAACACCGATTTCGATTCGGATCGATCGAATCGAGATGGGCCCTGCAATGTGCTGCTTCATCCTCGCCCGTTACTCGGCCCTGCTGCGCGCCCAATCGCTTCCACCACCCATCTGCCACAGTCTGGTTTCTGCGCAGGGGTGGGGCACGACCGAGGACGTGCGCTGAGCCATCCAATCGTCGAAATTGCTCAGCTTGTAGTTGCGCTTCGTGGGCAAGCCTCTCGGTGACAAAAGACTCCAACGTACAAACACGTCTACGGACAACCAACCAATCAATACATCTAAATGTAGACATTAGACATGTGATACTGCAGACGCGCGCCGCAAAACCGAACATGTGCAGCTGGAACAGCCCACCGCAGGTTCATTCGCGCATCCACGCAATCGACCACCAAAGAGACGGGCCTAACAAACCCAACTCTAACCCACTCGATCGTCTGTCCACGTCCTCCTTTCCCGCTACTCCCATGGTCGATGTGACTCGTGCCGACGCCCCGAATCGAACAAGCAAACATTGTTCTTCACGCATGAGCCATCGTCCCTCCAAAAATGGTGTATGTCTCCAGCTTGTATGCTTTTCGGACAGCCTGGGAGGTAGAGTACACATGAGAACCGGTCGTGTCCGTGGCCTCAAGGTCTCAAACAAGAAGCTCGGCCCCTAGAATGCGTCGGAGATTGGAGCCTGAGGTCGTCGCCCTAGTCTCTCTAGCCGCTCCACCAGTACGCCATGATATGCGCGCCCATGCGATCCCCATCAGTCCGAGACCAACACCTCCGAAGCGTGGTCAAACAACAGCAGGAGAACGGTCAGGTCATGACCGGGCTGGCTCAGGATACGCTCGGGGGGCCCCGGGTCTCCTGCCGCCCTCGGCCCCGGACCCCGTGGAAGTCCTGGGACAACCGCAGTCCCTCCGATGTCTGGCGCCCCCCCTGCCCGGGCGGGAGGCGCTGCCGTCGCTGCGCAGCAGCACCACCAGGGGGCTCTCGGACCTTCCGCGGGGGGGGGGGAGGGAGGGGCGCGGGCCCCGCTCGCGGCCGGTCGCCTGCGGGGTTCCCGCGGCGCCTCGGCCCCGCAAAGGCTGGGCGAGACCTCTAGCCGCGCCCTCTCGGGGCCGCGTCCCCTTGGCGCACTGCTGATGCCTCCAACGCCTTGAACAGAAAGCAAAGCCACTGAATTGTCTGCTGCGCGGTGCTCGTTTTGTTCCCACTCCCTGGGCGCTGGACGCTGGTGGTCTCGGAGTCTGTCGGGCAGACGCTGCCCCCCCCCCCCCCCCCACCGCGGGCAATGGTGGCGCACCTAGGATGGGATGACGGAGGATTGACGAAACGGCGAACGACTGAGCCTGCGACGAAAGCTCAATCCTGAACCCTCTTCCCATTTGGAATATGGGAAGTTTACTTGCATCTCATGTTGCCTTTCCCGACGCTCTCGCGCCAACTCTTCATTCGGTGCTGCATTTCAAGCTTTCCCTCAGGGGCTCGCCGTGGAGCCCCCCCCCCCTTGCATGCAATTTTGCCGGAATTGAGTTAAACATACGCTCTATACCTATTAGCCAGCGTGAACCCCAAACTGTTAGAGATTGCACTTTGGAGGTAGAATTGATGTTGGGTAAGCAATGGTGTGTAAGCTATGGTGCCTAAGCTTTGCGGTGTGGCTATGTGCTACAACGCATGTTGTGTAATTTGAATGATATAAACTATGTGGTTTGAGCTGTATGGTATGAGCTATGCTGCGCCAGCGATTCGGTGTATTACGAGCCGCAGTCACTGTGGCGTGAGCTATATAGAGTCGACGATGCTCATATACATACATAGATACACATATCTATGTATAGGTATATGCATGTAAATGTAATTACGCTACCGAGGAACCCCACATACTGATTTTATGTCTTGTGTGAACCGCGCATGCTCTCAGGTGCCCCCTGTGGTCGTTGAAAGGAGGGGGGGACGTGTGGGGGGAGAGGAGAGGTTGAGGAGCCATCTGTGACGGTCATATCTGGCGTCGCCTGGCACTTGGATACGAGAGGTAATACGCAATCCCGCACTAGAGGCTATGCCTGGACGACCCTGGCACGCATAGGGAGACCACCCCCTGCGCACCCCCTCTGGTGTCGAGAAAATGCCACGCCTGCAATGCCTGGACGACCCTGGCACGCATAGGGAGACCACCCCCTGCGCACCCCCTCTGGTGTCGAGAAAATGCCACGCCTGCAATGCCTGGACGACCCTGGCACGCATAGGGAGACCACCCCCTGCGCACCCCCTCTGGTGTCGAGAAAATGCCACGCCTGCAATGCCTGGACGACCCTGGCACGCATAGGGAGACCACCCCCTGCGCACCCCCTCTGGTGTCGAGAAAATGCCACGCCTGCTATGCCTGGACGACCCTGGCACGCATAGGGAGACCACCCCCTGCGCACCCCCTCTGGTGTCGAGAAAATGCCACGCCTGCTATGCCTGGACGACCCTGGCACGCATAGGGAGACCACCCCTGCGCACCCCCTCTGGTGTCGAGAAACTGCCACGCCTGCTATGCCTGGACGACCCTGGCACGCATAGGGACCCCCTGCGCACCCCCTCTGGTGTCGAGAAAATGCCACGCCTGCTATGCCTGGACGACCCTGGCACGCATAGGGAGACCACCCCCTGCGCACCCCCTCTGGTGTCGAGAAAATGCCACGCCTGCTATGCCTGGACGACCCTGGCACGCATAGGGAGACCACCCCCTGCGCACCCCCCTGGTGTCGAGAAACTGCCACGCCTGCAATGCCTGGACGACCCTGGCACGCATAGGGAGACCACCCCCTGCGCACCTCCTCTTGTGCCGAGAACATGCCACGCCTGCTATGCCTGGACGACCCTGGCATGCATAGGGAGACCACCCCCTGCGCACCCCCTCTGGTGTCGAGAAAATGCCACGCCTGCTATGCCTGGACGACCCTGGCACGCATAGGGAGACCACCCCCTGCGCACCCCCTCTGGTGTCGAGAAAATGCCACGCCTGCTATGCCTGGACGACCCTGGCACGCATAGGGAGACCACCCCCTGCGCACCCCCTCTGGTGTCGAGAAACTGCCACGCCTGCAATGCCTGGACGACCCTGGCACGCATAGGGAGACCACCCCCTGCGCACCCCCTCTGGTGTCGAGAAAATGCCACGCCTGCTATGCCTGGACGACCCTGGCACGCATAGGGAGACCACCCCCTGCGCACCCCCTCTGGTGTCGAGAAAATGCCACGCCTGCAATGCCTGGACGACCCTGGCACGCATAGGGAGACCACCCCCTGCGCACCCCCTCTGGTGTCGAGAAACTGCCACGCCTGCTATGCCTGGACGACCCTGGCACGCATAGGGAGACCACCCCCTGCGCACCCCCTCTGGTGTCGAGAGGGAGGAGAGGGAGGAGAAGGAGAATGAGAAGGAGGAGACGCGGGTGAGACGCGGAAGGGAAGAAAACCAGAACCCCACGAAGCATGTGGGGAAATACACGTGCAGACATATATATATATATATATAGCTGTGGTGTGAGCTAGCTGGTGTGAGCCCTTCTATGGGAGCTGAGCGGTGCCAGCTGCGCGGATTGATATAGGATGTGTAAGCCAGGCGGTGTGAGCTGCGTGGTGTGGCCTAAACGCATATCGTGCAACCTATGCGGTGCGCCCGATTTTTTGTGCAGGCTGTGCGGCGTAAGCGCACGCGGCGCCCTCGGGGCGCCCACATGCGGGCACGGGCGCCAGCGAGGCGACTCCCCAGGGAACCCCCGCCCAGCGCACGGGCCCCCCACGGGGCGCCCACGAGCGGGCACGGGCGCCACTGCCGAGAGAACCTCGGCAACCCGACCCGGCAGACGGGGCGCCCACGAGGCGCCCACGAGCGAACGCACGGGGCGCCCACGCGGCGAGTCCTGGGGAGACCCGCCCAACGCACAGGGCGCCCACGAGGCGCCCACGAGGCGCCCACATGCAGGGCACGGGCGCCAACGTGGCGAGACCTCGGGAAACCCACCCAGGGCACGTGGCGCCCACGGGGCGCCCATGAGCGGGCACGGGCGCCAACGTGGCGAAAACCCGGGAAACCCAGGCTATCACTGGAGAAAGGAACAGAAGAACCTCCAGGTGCAAGCGCTGTTTGAGGAATATCCACCGCCGCTGGCCAGGCCCATCCTGGACCCAAGAGCGGTATATACGCCCCCCCCCCCCCCTTGGCTTGGCCAGGGAGTCGTATACACCGATGCTGGGCTGCAGGATCGACCTGGCCGGGGGCGGTGGATATGCTTAGATCCCGTCGCCTGAGAACTGCCAACAAAAAATTGCATATGGGATGGACAACGCGCCTCACGGGCACCGGTGGTCGGGAGGTCTGGCAGGCCACATGCTACATACGTACATACGTCATGGCGTCGGAGGTCTGGGCTCCTTGCTCAGGAGAGGAAAGATCGGCACTAGCAGAAACTGTCCAAGGTCTGCGCGGATTCCATGGGTCGACGCGCGCCAGGGGCGGCGCCAGAAGCGCGGCCGGGCTGGGGGAGGTCCAGCACAGACCCAAGAAGTCCGCGTGCACCTCCGAGCGTCTCTGTATTATGTCGACGTATGTTATTCGACTACTTTTCGTCCCTCCGTGCGTCCTCCCTCTCCAATCGGTCCCCCCCCCCCCTCTCCCACCCTGGGCTTTCGCGCTTCCCCTGCCCTCGCCCCAGGGGCCCCACCCGATCACATCCCGGAGGAAGGACATGCCACGAAACACAGCGGGGAGACGACAACGCCGACGACGACGACGACGACGGGGGGAAGCGGGCTGGGGGGAAACGTTCGGGGGGACTGGCTCGGGGGACGCTGTGAGTCCTCGGCTGCATGCGCCGAGTGCACCAAGGCAGGAAATCCCGTTGCTCTGCACAGCTTCAGGGGGGCCGCGCTGGGTCGCCGCTGGGGGGGGCCCCCTGCGGGGGGCCGCTTGCCCGCGCCGGCCCTCCGTCCCCTCCCCAGACCTCCCTCTCCCCTCCCTTCCGCCCCGCCCTGTGTGCCCCCCATCCACTCCTGAAGAACAACCAACCCACGGCATCAGGATGCGCTGCTGGAAGTCCGCGCAGATTTCCCGAGTCGGCGCTGAGCCCCCCGAGCGGCGCCTCTGGCGCGGCCCCCTACAGCGCTTCGCTCGCCAGGGCGGTGGGCGCAGCGCGTATCAAAGAAACCGAAAGGACCTCCAAACGTTCCTGCGAATGGGAAGAACGAAACCGCTCTTTGGCCCAGGAGACCGGGTGGGTGCACCAGGAGCGCCGGAGGAACAACCATGGACCATTGAAGGACCTGAGGAAAAGCGATCCCCCTCCGAATCCGAGCTGTTCATTTGTTCAACGACTCGGTTATGCGTTGCCCTCCGTTTCTCCCTCTCCCTCCACAGACATGTCCGATCTCGTGACTACTCCTCAACGTGGACCTCCAAAAGGTGTGGACACCCTGGTGGAGAACAAGTGTTTCATCCCGAATCGTTTCTTGACGGCCCCGAACAATGGATAAGTATATACCTCCAAGCGCTGCACCCTCGCGACAACGGCAATGCCCCCAAAAAAACACTCCACGGCCACAACTGCCTCTCGGCGGCGGCAGATTATAAAACATCTATCGCTGTGCTGTCCGCCATCATCTCGCAACACTTAAGGCAATGGATCCTGAGGAAACAGTCCTGACCCTGGAGCTTTCCAGGGAACCCGCATTTCATCCTGAGTGGTTTTCGATGGTACTGTGGCCCAGGGAGGGCGCCCATGGAATGCGAAAGCGGGACAAAAACCCAGGACCCCTTGCCCTCAGGACCTTCTGCTGCACACGAACTTGCACAATGAACATGTGAACGCCAAAGCTCCCCCTACGAAAATTGGCAACAAAAACGTGGGCCAAGAACATGAGCCCCTTGGCCCTGGGCTCAAGGCCGACATCACAAACGCGAGGACCCCTCTTGAGGCCCACCCTGACCCGTTTGCGAAGCGGGTCCAGCCGTGGAGACGACAAGCCTCATGGAGGATCCACAAAAACGAAAAGACGCAAGGGAAGACCGCCGACGTCTCGGCTGGCTCTCGTGCAGCAGAACTGCCCTCAACCCCTCGTGCCAACCATGGACTTGGCCGGCCGACGCACCCGCCGCCCTTCCACCATCATGCGGGGGGGGCCTGACGGTCACCTGCAAGTAGCCGCCGCGGAACTGCGGGGGCACCTCTCGTGGGAGCAGCGCGCACATGCATACACACATATATATATATATATACATACATACATACATACATACATGCACACACACACACACACACACACACACACACACACTAAGGTGCGCAGGCCTTCGACCGAAACATGGCGTACATATTTCGTTGAACCCCTCACACTCGCGAGACTACCCCGAAAAATGTCCACTGAACTGTGCGCGGTGGCGGTTGCGGACACATGTTCATGGTCGTGCTCCTGTCCCCGATATCGCCGATCAGCGCCGCGATATTTCTACGGTGGCGCGGATCGGTGGCCTCAACGCGAACTCGAAATCGTATTCTGGTGGATAATAACGGGGGGAGGCATTCAAATAAGTCACCTGGTTTCGCGTCATCGCGCCGCCTCCCTGGAACACGGTAGCCGCTCTGGCTCAGACCGCGCCCCCGCGGTTGAACTAGATACGCTGGAGGGGCGTTGAAGGCTTGCAGGAAAGGTGGCCCTAAAGGGGTCCTCGAAAGCATGTAAAAGGCCACCGCGCCACGAAGGTGCCGTATACGCGCGCCTTCTTTCCCACCCCCTCTTTCTAGTTCCCCCCCTTTTGCAATCCACCCGACATGTACCGTTCCGCCGGTGTCGAACCTCCCCCACCTCCCCGCATCCTGTGCAGCCATTGTGAATCAGACTTCGAAGCCCGCGCTGGTAAGTTGCGTGAGAGACGCGTGCGCAACGCGCACCCAAACACATGCACCCAGTTCGCAACGATAAAACAACACAACGCACACATACACACACACACACACTCACACTTCTTACTTCCCAGCCGGCTGGTCCAACTCAGCGATGAGATTTGCAGGGCGCGCTCAAGATCTCTAATACACTACATGGCTGGTGGGTGGAAGCGAAAGCGGGCTGCACTGACGGCGCGCAAGAGCGCGCAACCCCAAGGAGGGGAAAACGCGCAACCGAGCGTCGGACGTGAAACTGCACAGCGCACTGCCCAGGGAGGCCGGCCACAGGGCAGGCGACTCCAAGACGAGGCCCGGGCGGGCGGCAGAGGCGAGAAAGCAATCGGGCGAATGCAAGCCGCAAGAAACGGAGGTTGCCCATGGCAAGGCCCGACCAGCGGCTCTGGCAAACAAGGCTCCAAGAACCGACGGCGCTAACCCGTGGGTGAACGAAGCAGACGAGAAGACCAAGGCAGAGAGGCGACACCTGGGAACCGGGGCGAACCCAAGGCCAGGCGGGGAGGAGGGGAAGCGACAACAACGACGCAACGACCAGGAAGAGGACGAACCCCGAACGACAGCACGGGGCGCGGGCACAGGTGGGAAGCAAGGGCGACACACGACGGCGGCAAGGGAAGGGAGGACGACCCACCCGGCGGCGCAGGGACAGAGCAAATCCAGCCTGGGCCACAGGCTGGGCCTGATGGTGCCCTGAGGGCGCCGTCGAACGCGCCCGCAAGCTCGCGAGCCCACGCGCAACCATAGGCGCACACACACAACTGCGTAGGGAAAGGGGGTGCTGCCTGCGCGCGCTGATGCGTTTTTATTCGCGGGTTCGAGCGCATCTCTTTTGGGCCAGATGGTCCAGACAGACTGACGCATATGATGTTCCTCATCCTCTTTTCCTAGCTCAGAGGACCCCTTTTGGTGGGCCCTCGGGGCGAAATCTCCCTTGGCGCTGGCGGGCGACATGGCGACGCGTGCGAGCCGTACCAACTGTCTTTGACCAAACGCCCCCGCAAAAGCGCGCCTTCGGCGGGCAAAAAAAAAGGGAGGAGCGAACGATAACGACTACCCCCGCAGCGGGTACCAGGGCAACTCCACCTCCGCGCGCTGGCCTCCGGCACGCCGCGCGAAGGAACGCCGGCGCCGCAAAGAATTGCACGGTGCGCCCTGCGCGCGCAGCGCCCACTCTCGCCGCAGCGGCGAAGCTCAGTCGCTCGACGGGCCCCAGAACTATTCGCCAAGCCCTGGGGCGCCCCAGCGCCGATCACTCAATCTATGTCGCCCCGCGGCTCGCGACGACCTCGCATGCCTGCCCCAGCCGCGTCTGTCCTTCTCGCTTTTCCGCGTCACCCCAGGATCGCTTTTCAGCGGTGACTTGACAGACTCACCTTTCCATTGATTCTTGCGTCACTGCCTGCCCCCCGAGCTCCACCCGCCGCCGCTGGCATTGCTAGTTTCGTTAGCTCTGCCCTACAATGTATAATCAGATGGCGAAAGGCTCTCGTTGGCATCGCTGCCCCAACGATGCTTGGACGAAGAAGTATTCCAGCCTCCTTTGCCGTCGCCATGGCTGCCGCCGCGCGCCCGCCCGCTGCCGCAGGACAGGTTCACTCTGGCAAAGGGATCTGAAATTTCGCCGCGCCCTCGAACTCCCCCCCCCCCCCATTCGCGCCCGGAATCCGGGCCGCGCTCCGGGCCAGCGGACCCCGCCATGCCCGACCCCGCCAGGGGGGGGGGGGGGCGCGACAGACTTGCCCGCCGTCGACGCGGGGGCAGCATGCGCAATTGCGGATTGACTCCCGAACTCAGGATACTTCCGAATCATCAAACAAGAATTCGCGTTCAACTACGTGCCGTGCTCCTCGATCGTTCGACCCCCATTTCTGCTGAATCCACGGGTCAATCGGGGCCGTCGACGTTCCAATCCCGCTCGAGCCGAGGATATCAAGGACGCCCCTTGCAGCAGCATCAGATGGCTGCATCGCGCCAGATTTGAAGCCCGCCAGCGGGGGACAGGCAACTGGGCACATCCAGGGCGCTGCCTCTCTAATGCGCGCCCCCCGCCCCCCCAGATCTCGCCGCAAAGCTGCTGCGCTCCGCGCGCAACGCAATCGCGGAGCGCGCGGTCTGTATTTGTTGTTACGCTGGCCCGCAGGATCGCTGCGTCGACGGGGCGCAACCGCCGCGCAAACGATTTTCTCGCGAGCCATTCCTTATCACCTGGCTACCAAGGCACATATTCTTCCTCCGCCGCTCGACCCAGCCCATTCATCTGTCAATCTTCGCACGATCGCCCCGGCTCCCGCGGTCATCTCAGATAAATGCCAATCTGCTACAAGTCGCTCTCGAGAACTTGCGGGTAGCCTGCAAGGACACCGACTGCTGCGACCATTGCTTCTTCGTCCGCCATCTACTTCACGGAAGTGTGGGAGGGCCTTATCTCTCCTGAAAACCGAGGGGCTCGGGCAGGTCAAAGGCGGTTACTCTGGAGTGAATGTCGCACTCTCGCACTCAGCAGCGCGCGCCCACCTCTGGCACCTAGGCCGAGTAAGGTTCAGCATCGTCTAATTAATTTGCAAGCTCGCGGATAGCGCGGTCAGCGCGTCGAATGCGGCGAGATCGGAAATTTCTCACCCCCATTCAACCGCGCGGGCGGCGGTCGCGCCGCTCGCGAAGCTTCTGTCAGCCGCTGAACGCAGGTTCCTGTCCTGTTGATTGCCAATGGCTTTCGTGTTCTTCCTAAGGGCCCTGCACCAGGTTGGGGCCAAAAGTGGGGCCCTCTCCCGCTCGCTCAACTCAGGGCCCCCCCCCCGCCGAAAATGACGATCAAGGGGGCAAACCAAGCCCCTGCCACCCAAAAAAAAAACATGGGCGGCCCGACGCGCAACGGCTGACACCGCGCGAGAAAGCCCCGAGGTGCCACGAACCCGCCCGCGAACGCGCGGGAGCTACGCCAGCTGAATCGCGCGCCAATGGCCCCGAGTCGGATGGGAAGAGTTCGAGCCCTCCAGGGCGCCCCGAACAGCGCGGCGCCATCAGTTCTCCATAAGAAAATGTTGAACTCGCGCGTGCTTTCACAGGGCATGAGATACTCGCGCGCACTCCAGGGGGAGCAACGCGCCCCGAACACCTTCCACTGGAAGAGCGGACGCGCTCTTCGGGGGGAGATTCCACGAGGCGGGCCGTCGTCGAAGGCGCCCGTGATTCCGCCGGCGCCCCGAGCGCATCGCCGCCGCATCCCGGCGGTGAACTTTTCGCCCCCCCCCCCCCCCTAGACGAGCATTCACCCCCCTATGCTCTAACAAGACATAACGCCCCAGCGCACATGCCCCCCAAACGGTTGCCGATTGGATTTCACACAGAACACACGACGTGCACACGTCCGCCTGTTGGTGCGCCATGCAATGCGCGTGCGCGCGCGGTCGATTGATGGTTTCTGCGCTGCCAGCAGCCGGATCGCCGTCATGTTCGCGTGAAAGCCCAAGTGGTCCGTTAGCGGCTATAGCGGTTGATGGTGGGGTGCCCAATTTACATGCGGCCTGTACGTGTCCGCCCGGTGGTGTGCCAATACTGTGCGCCCATACGCGCGCTCGCATTTTTGGTTTCTGTAGCGTCTGTTGAAAATTAGCCGCCGTGTTGGCCTGGAGCCGTAAATGGCCCACTTGACATGCGGCCACCCGGTGTCCCTGATTGTCCGCCACACAATGTTTCTACGCGCGTGCCCGCTTGGTGGTCTCTATGTTGTCCCCAATTCGATCGCCCCGAAAAAGATGTGGAAACCCACGTGGCCCCTTGGCGGTATACGCCCTGTACGTATCCACTTGGCGTCGCGCCGTACAATGCGTCTACGCGCGCGCTCGGCCGCACAGGGGAAATGCACGAAAACGAAGCAGTCCATCAGCACGCATGCTGCGCATTAGTTACTTCAGAGAAAGGCCCCAATAAGTGGACGGTTTTCGCTGAGGGGATCGACCGGGAACCCGGGAACCCCAAACCCACCGAAATCGGCCCGGAACCTGGGAACCGGGAGCCCGGGAACCCAACATGCTACCAAAATCGCCGGGAAATTTTCGCAACCTTTTTCAACATCCGCTCGGACCCCTTCAAAGCAAGCGCTGATTGGGGAAAACATGCATGCTGTTCAAGAGTATGCGTTGCGAATTGAAGGAAATTGTGCGAGCGGTTCTGCTACCACACAGTCAATATGCTTGACTAGTTGCTGTCTCTCGTCGCAAAAGCACCTGTAAGAAGACATGCCCAAAAGAACACTGCCACCACCATCAGCGTAATTACTAGCATCATCACCATCACCATCACCATCACCATCAGCATCATCATCCTCATTACCACTCACAACCAGCATCAACATCAGCATCTTCATCACCACTCCCCTCACTTCCCCTTGTCCATCCCCATCCACACTTGTTGTCGCCCACCCCACATCCACATCCTCCTCCCTTCTTTCTCCATCGTGGAACGTTTTATTATTAGTATTATTAATACTCGTATGTTTATTATTGGCATTATAATCGATATGTGTATATATATATGTATCTTTGAATATACGCGTATACGCATATATATAGAGAGAGAGAGAGAGAGAGAGAGAAAGAGAGAGAGAGAGAATGTGCAATGACGCGTTCTCGGGATGCTCCCCCCTCTCCCCAGTTGGTGGTAAGGTCACGGTTCGCGCCGGCGCCCCCTGCAACTCTCGGATAACTCCCGCTATTGCCAGGGAACAAAAAACACTCACTCCTGCTCGCCCCTTGCTAGCGGATTGATCAAATCGATGGCCCCAATGAGCCTTTACTAAAAGCGGGGGTCTTCCCAAAAATAAAAAAAATCGAAGACGGTTCCCCGGAAGCCGGGAGGGCGTTTGCCACGCCCCCTGCCTTCTAAAAAAAACACCTCCTTAGAAGGCCGCCCCTCTCACTCCCACCCCTCCTGGCGCCGCCGAAATTCTCCTCCCAGTCGCCCCAACACGCACGCACACCAAGACCCCTGGCGCCGCATTGTGTTCACACCGTGGACCCCCAAAAGTATGGACCCCATCCTGAGTAGCTCTTGTTGACGGCCCCGGCGCCCAGTACAGGCCTCCAGAGGCTTAAAGTTGCCAAAAACCTCCCGTCGAGAATGCCTTCTGTGCGCGCCGCCGAGTCCCCCGGCCCTCCCCAAACACGGCGCGCCCGCACATGCGGCAGACCTGGCGCAACCGCCCGGCGAGAGTGCCGCTGGGCTCCGCTGAAGCAGCGGAACAAAGGCGGCGCGGGCGCGGGCTGGCGCCCGGACGCGGAAGTACTGGTACCTGTTCGTGGCAACCTGGCGGTCGGGGGAAGTGGACTTCTTCCCGGGGGGGCCGACTGGCAAGGCGAGCTGGGTGAGCCCTATCGCAGTCTAAACTCGTCAGCCGAAAGGTCTCCAGGGGGCCCCCAACGAGGCCTTGAGGGCGTCTGCGGCAGGAGCACATGTGCTACCCCCTCGAGACTTGCCTGCATAGAGGGTCACGCCTCCAGAAATCCCAGTGGGTGGAGGCCCCACTAGCGAGGGCCGCCCCATCTCCCACCCACCCCTACCCTCAATCGAGATCCCCCTACCCTCCCCCTCTATGCTGCGTTTTCCTGGGGCCCAGACATCCTACGATGTGATTTGTTCCAACCCGCAGCCCAAGAGACTCGACCACTCGTCGGGGGTGGGCATTCGGGCAGGAAACACACTTGATGGTCCTGGGGTCCCGACAACGGAGCCCAGATGCCATCATGACTACGAAACGTCCGCCTGCAATGATTAGCAGCAAAAGGACGCCTAACCCGTTGGGAGCGGACCTAGGCGAAGAGGTCCCAAACATGATGGGCAGAGCGTCTTTGCTGAAGATCTACCAGCCCAAACCACCCAGATTGATCATGACTACCTACTGCAAAGACGGGGACCTAAGTGAGGCCAAGTCTTCAGTGTGTTATTCGGGTTATGGATTATCTTGTCCTCGATGATGAAAAGCACAACCCTTTGGATGTCTGGGAGCTGTCGATGGGGCGGAATGATGAAAGACCTGGGGGGGGAGTGGGCGGCTGAGGAGCCTCCGCCCTTCCCCCCCCGTGAGCCAGAGAGCGCGAAGCAGGGGTCGGGTACGAAAACAATGCGCGCAACGTCCAACAGCAGTTCTGGTTCAGTCTGAACAGGATTTCCCATCGGTGTCGCCGCGGTCGCTGTTCATTGGAAGCAGAAGCTCGCCTGCCCAACAGCGGCCGCCGTCGGTTCTGGTCAACATCTGTTGTTGGGCATCGTACCCATGTTGTCCGCCCGGCCGAGGTACACGAAAACGAAGCGCAGACACGGTGCTCCCCATAGCAGTCACAACGTTGCTAAAGATACACTCGGTTGGGGAAAGCAGCACGAAACACTGGCTTGCCCAACTCCCGAGCAACACAAACACTGGCTGCGCAAGCAACACAAAACAGGAACGCCCAAATACCAGGGCCCGTTGAAGGTCCGACACGTTCCCCATGGCCAACTCATCCTGTGTTTGACAATCCTCGGGCTCGACGAGGTCCCTCAGAAGCCGAAAACGGCGAACAACAACCCATATCAGTATTTCAACACGTTGGGGGTCTGACTGGGTTCATGGCTGGGACATCCTACGGGTTCGGTGTGTAATCCACGCGGCGCTGCGGCGCGACGACTCGAAATGTCGAACACCTGCAAGCAAAAACTACAAACAGCAAGCACCGCATAGACTTGCCCACGAAGGGAAAGGGCAATTCGAACAACTTACGTAGAAGCAGCGCGCTGGCCGCTGCTTAGAAAAGGACTGGAAGAACCTGCGTGACAGGGACGAAAGCCAATTCTTGCCATAAGACTGATTTGGCCCTGACTCGCAACTTAGGAGGTGCTCCGCACGCTACTACGCAAGATCCCAATGCTGGGGAACAATGCCTAATCCAAACTGTGGCCATGCCGAGAAACTACCCCCACAAATTCGGCTAAACGCATCGGGTGGACCCCGAGAAAACCAGAGGACGACGACGATGGAAAACGAAGGAGCGGGGCTGCTGCAAAGACACAAAAGATGCAATCTCAGTCCCCGAACCCGCGGGTCGGGGGACCTCGAACATGAGCAAGAACCGCATGAGAGGTTCCCAAAGCCGTTTCAGTTGGGGACTCGTTGCGGTTTGTCCGTCCCTGAACCCTTCCTTCCCTGAAAGACAAGCATCAGCTGTAAAGTAGGCATGTTCGCACCTACGCCCTCAATTCTGACTGCCCGAGAAAGCGGCCAACTTATGAATTCGAGCTCTCCGGCGTCATGCGCACAATTTTGTCGGGCGCGTTCGCTGGTACGGCAGCGTTGACAAGGGCCGAAATCATCTGCATGCTTCAGTGTAAAAAGCATATCGAATGGCACCGCGCCCCCTGCGTAAACTGGAAATCGCGCCGTTGCCTGCACCGATCATCCCGAGTTCCACTGACAAGCGCGTGTGATGGGACAAGCCAACAAGACAACAACAACAACAACAACAACAACAACAACAACAACAACAATCACTTTACCCGAACGCTCAGTGTTCTCACCAGTGCCAGGGTTTTCATGCGACGCCAGCCAATACCCCCACTTTGTGGGGGGGCAGTGCAAGCTCTACCAAATATCCACACGACTCTTCGCCACCACCCACACCCAGCTTCCCGCCCTATGACGTTCGGACACTTCACTTCGTGGCCTGCGGACGACCGTGGCTACTACACTGGCGTGGAGTACACACCCACAGAAGTTGTTAAGCCTACGTTCGTACACCCACAGAAGTTGTTAAGCCTTGTTAACCCACAGAAGTTGTTAACCCACGGTGCGATTCGTGTGATTTTATGATGCGCGGTGCTAAAATTCTTAAGAAGCCCAATGGTTTTTGGAGATTTCGGCGTGCGCGCGCGAAGAAAAAACGAATGTGTCCCGCATGGTATTATTTGACAGGGATGATGGCCCTGGCAGGTGCGCAACCGTTGTCGCAGAAGTTCGAAAAAGTTGCTCGCAAAAGCCCGTTTGACAGAAATGTTTAAAAAGTGTTGGGTTTCCTACGAATCCGCAAGAGCGCGCGGGATGAGATTTTGACATTTTTTTGTTGAAAAACCATTGGTTTTTTGATGTTTTTATGTTAAAATCGCTCCGAACACTAAGCTTTTGGAAGGATTTCGTCTTGCGCGCGCGAATGTCCACTTTACCTTATTTTTTGCAAGGGATTCTTGAAATTTGATTATATTAGAACAAGAAATGTCATTTTATAGTGTTTTTTGCAAGGGAAAACGGATTACAACAAAACAACCGGATCTGGATGACATCGTATTACCTGAGGCTTCCTCACGAAAATGATGAAAATGTAGCTGCGGCCTAGGCGCGGCGGGGGGGGCGCGCACCAGGGGCCCCAACAATAATTATTCTTTAGAATTAATAATGTTCAAACAACAACAATAACAACAACCCCGTATCCCCCTGACCCCCCCTCCAAAGCTAGAGCATTGTGTACGTATGATTACATATATGTCTTTACAGATGCCTGTGCCCACCCATGTAAACACTTATGGATGCATAGATATATGTGCGCATGTACAGCAAACATATCTTCGCCGTCGCTACGAAACATGGAACTGCACGTCTTCGCGCGCACTCCTGAGAAAAAGTGGGCCGGGGCAGAAACTGGAACGGCGTTACACAATTGGTCCGTCTTGAGGAATAAAGCGTTATTCACATGCTGCCGCCTTCGGCGGTGGCTCGACGCTGCTTGGCGGCGCCAACTCGGAAAAGAAAACTGTACGGCCCCTCCCGCTTGTTCAGGGCAACGCTGCGCGGCGAAAACAAAAAAAGCAGACTGCTCATACAAATGATGATGATTTGAATGCCTGAAGTGAACCACCAGGCCTCCATCGAGATGAAAATGCAGCTCGCCAGGCAAACCAAGTACACTGCGTGCGCCGACCTGCGGTCGGCAAACGCACGTAGTGGATTTTGGCTTGGGGGGCAACGCTCAAGCGCATGAGTCCTTGACAGGGTGGAACGAGGAAGAGTGGGAAAAGCAGATGGAGGGGGGGTAGGCACCGAGGCAAAACGTTGCGGCTCCAGCGCGCATCAAACATCTGCACAGCGAGCCTGTGCCCAGCCGCGCCTGTTTCGCACAAGTGCTCAAAAACGTCATGGACAACCGTTTTTTGAAGAGGGCGGCCCCCGCGAAAACGGTTGGAGGCTACGCGCGCGGCGCAAGTTGCAAGCGCCGGCGCTGCAAGCGCCTCATCAGCGGCTGATTCGAGGCACAAGAAGCTTTCAAACAATGGTACCTCGGAGTAGGTACGACGTTTCGATGCTGCCAAGAAACTTGCAGACTGCATGGCGATCAATGCTGTCTTGCGAATGAGGGAGCACCCGAATCAACGCCGTCCTACAGTCTGGAATCGGCGCGCAGTGCACCTTCCGTTCCATTGCTGTGTTCCTTCAGCTGCTACTGCACGCCTGAGCGCTCGGCGCGCGAGCCGGCCGATCCGACGCGGGAGAACCCACCTGATCAATGCGCCGAGAAAGCGGGGCTCGATCCGCAAAGATCGGTCAGGGTGCGCGCGGATTCGTTCGCAGGGCGCGCGCAGGTCGAGAGATGCGCGCGCCCTGCTGCCGCGAAAACGCGCGCAGAATTGGATTCGCACCAAGCGTGCCGACGAGCAGCGCGATCTTGCGCAGGGCCTTCCCGCCGCGCCAATCCTGGCCCCGAGCGCGAGGCCCTGTTGCTTTGAAGTGCGTCGGCGACAATCCGGGGCTTCGCGCCCCGCGCCTAATCGTCGACGCTCCAAAATTCCATTGGAAGCTGGAAACGACAAAAAGGGCTTCGAGGCGCCGCAGGTCAGCCGCGGGCCGCCGCCCGCCTGGGGCGGAGGAGAGCTGGGGGGGACTCAGACGCCACTGGTGCTGCAGGCGCCGGGGGGAGGGGATCGCCAGGCGACTTGCGCGGGGGAGCGCGAGCGTCGCGGAGGCGTTGCGCGCGCGCCCGCTGAGCTGAAGCCCGAGCCCGAGCTCCGACCAGAGGCGGGCCCGCATGCATATTTCACCGCCGCTTGCAACCACTCCGCCCGGCAACGAAGATGCCCGACTGGAAACCCAAGATGCACTGCGCGCGCCGCGACCGCCGCGCTGGGGCTCTGGGGCGTCGCGCCCCGCAAGACGTGGCGAGACCGATTCGCAGGGGCACCCTACAATTTGAGAAACGACTGTTCCTGTCTGTTCACGCGAAGACCAAAATAATTTGCAAACTCAACTCAGCATGCATCTTCGAAATAACCGGAACTTCGCGCCAACA